GTGTGCTGCTTTCATGTGAACCGTTCTTCGACATAGTATAAAGTTTTCTTCTTTGAGCGTTTTTGCTTTCTGGATGATGACGTGTCTAATATTTTCGCCCCTAACAAGGCTCTGTACATTCAATAAAAGTGATGTGGGAAAGTAATATTGAATTCAGGATCTTTCTGGTTCAAACCAACCTATTTAAAGCACCCTACTTAATAAACGCATATACGGGCCACATATACCACTGAAGAGCCCAACTTCGGATAAAGTAAATTCTTTCCAACAACAAGTTTTACAAAATAAACCTTTAAATACGCTGCCACTGTGGTTCGTAGTTGGTTATCAATGTTAATGTGCATTCTTTGGATTCGTATTCCCCGTTCGCCTGCTATCTGATGGCTCTCGTACAGTATTTCTATATTTAAATTACCCGATCTCTTCAACTAGATATTGAAACTTTGGGTGTCGCGCTCGATAACCAGATTTGGATCCCCGCGGCTTCCCTTCCCCAGTAAAAATGTACGATTACCTGTTTTTTGAAAATTGTATGTGATTGTTTTTTGCTCGGATTTTTTTTTTAAAAACGGCCATCGTCCTTCCTGACGTCACGGACATAGATCTTCATTTGGTACCATTCGCATTGACTGTGTTAAGTTTCAGTAAATTGATTGTATTCTTCTTTGATTCTTTGACTAAGATGCATTTCTTCTTTCTTACCTTTTGTTAACTTTCTTATCAATATAACACACGCATGAAATAACTGAAAGAAACGCGTTGAAGGCAGTATTTTTATCACAAGGGGTATTTAAAAAGAATTTTTATTACAAAATTCCAAGAAACACAGGTTCAAGTTTACAATCTAATTTTAGTGTCAGTACGATTAATAGGCGTGTTTTCTTTGGACCTCTGTTCCGCGAGTTTCTCCGGGGTTTTCCGCGCGACAGGGATCGAAATTACGACTAAATTGGTCGCCATGGCAATGTCGGCAATACTTTAGCGCCTCTGGGCAGTAAATTTGTCTCCAAACTGGCGACCAGCAAGCGGACAAGCATTGATTGCTATCTCTATCGGACGGACGGACCTCGCTTGGACGGACGGCGTGTTAAAAAGCGTAGGTGTTTCGGGGCAAAATAAGTTCGTGGAACGCTGGACTAGAATATGTCCCAAGTGACCTATATTCGGCATTCGGGCCATCCGTATACTTGTGTGTATGTTGTTGTTGTTGCATGTTGTGATGAATCTGACACAGAAATGAACAAGCTTGTACACTAGGTTTTATTAACTCAATCGTCAACTAAGATTCTTAAAGCAGCACAAACTGAAGAGTGACTTTCAAATCAAAACACCATGCTATTAAAGGACGAACAGTATATGTCAGCAAGGTATAATGTCGTGACTGTTTAATCTAATGCTTCTCGAACTTCTTAAGACGAATTTGTCAAGTCTAGCTAACAATACGCCACAAATACCAGATAGTATGGCAAAAGTATGTTTCATTCAATAAACACGTTGAAAATACGCGGATGGAACGTAAATATCCAAAATGAAGAAATGCAAATATCCAAAATAAGACAAGATTGAATCTAACAAATATTTTTATTCTTACTAAGCTTCACGCTCCCTCAAAAAACTGTCTACCCCAACGTGTGAGGCGCGCCCCACCGTTTGAGAACCACTGGTTTGATGCGTTGCTAGATTTTATAACACAAATCACCACACATCTCAGGCAATATTTGCCTCCCCAGTCGTAATTATTGCAAGCGTATTCCATGTATCTCGGATTATATTGAGAACATGTCTAATTTCACATTACCTTTTTCACTTTGTCTATTTTATTTTCGAAAATAAAACGAGTGACGCAATATATTGATATACTAATTTTCCGACACCTCAGTTTCGTTGATGATCTTCAAAATATAAATATTTAAAGCTATTTAAAGTGTGTCAAAGAATGAAAATTTTGTATCCCCGGGCGTTGAAAATTTCGCCATAATTGAACATTTTTGAATAGTAATTATTCAACCCGATATTTTTGTAATATTTATTGCTCGCGAATTGCTTGCGACAACTAGCGGCATAATTAAAATTCGATAGTTGAAATTTAAGGGTCCTAAGGTCACTAATGTATATTCCCAAACTGGGGTACTTATTTCGACTTTTCAAATGGTACATTATATCACGTATAAATATATTCCATTCGTAATTTTTTCAAATCTACTTGGTTGCTGATGTTAATAATTTAGAGAACTGAGCTTAGGAACTCCACATTTTACCCTAGAAGATGCAGTACTCCTGTAGTATGTGAACCAAGATGCGGACACCGAAGCGTACTATGTGTACCAGGTTAGCGTTAGGCCATAATTTTTTCCCTATATATTAGTTCTATTACAAGTTCGAAGAATAGCCAAGTGACTCCCGTAGTATTTGTACCTGAAATTATGGCCTAACCATAACCTGGTACACATACTACGTTCCGCTGTCCGCATCTTGGTTCACATACTACGGGAGAACTGGAAAAGCTTTGAACACAACTACATTAACTACAAATTCTTCTTTCGGGGTTCACCGGACTCATTTTGCCTACAAAAAGCTGGGTGATTTCCACGAGAAACGTATTTACAAGGGTCAAAGGCACATACAATCGTCTCCACTAGAAATAAAATTTACAGAGCGCAGGTTGTCTTGCCAAACAATTACTCTTTAATACTGCAGCGTAATTTAGGTGTAAAAATATCATATTTGACACTACAGGGTTCTCGAAATGAGTAGCTATACATCTTATGGAGCTGGAAAAAGAAAGTGAATTGGTGAAGTCCATCCCTACTAATTCTTTCGGCGCTCCCGTAGTATGTGACCAAGTTGGCGGATACCGGAACATAGTATGTGTACCAGGTTAGGGTTAGGCCATACATTTATTCCGATTTTATTCCATTCCCTTATTTTAGTTCTATTACGAGTTACGGACTAACCAAATGACTCCCGTAGTAATCGTACCTGAAACTATGTCCTAACTTTAACCAGGTACACATACTATGTTCCGGTGTCCGCCATCTTGGTTCACATACTACGGGTTTACCATCCTTTCAGCTTTTAATGCGAACGCCCAGACACTACTCTACAGGCTGGAACAGTTTTAAAAGAGAAACTGATTGAACCACAACATGATGGAGAGAGAGAGATTTAATATTTCGTCAACCAAAAGTACAGTCATCAATAAAATAGCAACAGCAATAAAATTTGTTTTGGTATCGACAGGAGGGGGCGATACGAACATACGGTCAGCGAAGTCAGCTTCCACCCTATACGCTGACGTGATTAAGATTAACAATAAAAGATGACCAGTGGCAAAACTTGAATAACATTTGGGAATACCTAAAGAACTTCAATTTTATACAATGGCTTTGCAGGCGTACGAGAAACACAAGTGATTTTTGGTTTACGACGTGCAAGTCGTACAAGATGATTTATTTTTTTCCGATACCCATGTCTCATCGCTGGTTGGTTACAGACTCTGCTTTATGGCTGAATGTTCTGAAATTTTTAAAATATTCAAACTTTTAATTTCTGTACGTTTCAGCGACCGATTCCAGATCACTATCCGGAGGTCAACTTACGCAGTGTTATTCAATAAGGCAGCTGTATGGGATTGGGTTGCACTGACTGACAACTGATGTCTAATGCAATTAAAGACAGAAAGTAGCTGAGCCAATTTGCAATCCCGGCGTCGCCTTATTGTCAAAAAGGCCTTGACCAATAATAAAAATCATTTAACCACTGCCCAATAGCAGTGATACACAAATAGCTAAATCAGTAATTTTTTAATTCGAAATATGAGGTGTACACTAATATTAACGAAGAAATATTGGACCCAGTAACGATATTTCTAAATGTTTATTTTGTGAAGCCTTCTTCTTTGACCACTGAGTATTTTCGTGTAATCATACTATACTGAAGATGAGACTGGGAGGAGATTAATGAAAGCTTCACGGAGTAGGAAATTTGAAAAATTTCATGTCTTAAAATTATCATTCGCGGAACTTTCACATTTCGTGGAATAAGCTTAAGCCACCAAACAGTTTTACTGGAAAAGGAAAACCACGGGGAACCCAAGCTGGTTATCAAGCAGCGACACCCAAGGTTCTATCTACCGGTAACTAAAATATAGACATTTTATTTGTAATACTGCTGTGATTGTCGTTAATTACCATAAGCTTTTGACAAAATATCAAACCAACATCTCTCACTAGAGAAAATTATCAGACATTGTATTGGGGAGTAACAAGACCACCGGAATAATGGGGTTGCTCTTGCTTACTGTTGCCACCCAGCGTCTGTATATGCTACTGCTTGGTGTTGATAATTACTTGGCATTTATTTATTCACTTGATATATTATAATTTGCGGTTGCATTTCTTTTTTTTGTATCTAACTTGTTTACTCAAAAATTAATTATTTTTATGCACTAAACAAAACTCTGCCGCGGTGTTATACTGGGGTCGTAAATATCACGAAAAAACTGCGCCTTTACATCTTGTAGCTCTGTGTACAGCGATTGTATTTTGAGTTTTGACCGAGGTGTGATACTGACGCGATTGAAAACTTTAATATTCACATTTTCTTGCATTATATTTACTGCAAATGTCTAATTCAGAAGAAAACGGGTCGAGTCGAGTATTCTAATCATTGGATAATTATAATCGTCATTCTCGTCAACCTGATTTTTAAATGGCGATAAAACATGAGTCACAGTATTGATAACAGTTCAGTATATAACGGTGAATGTTACGTATTCAGCATTAATTTGTTAATTTGACTAAAATTCAATGTTCCTCTCGATGGTTCCTACTTCCTTTTTCCAATGGAAACCGGTTGTCGACTCCAGTAATCCGATCTTCTTAAAAATTAGCATTATTTATCAGATCATTGTCACGTGCTAGCGGGGATTTCCCTTTTTTGTTTTTGTTTACATCTGTTCGTGTTTCGTAAGGATTGTTCGTTAACAAGAGCCTGATTATTCAAAAATTTATTCCTCGAACGCGAAGGCTGTATTCGGATTTGGGAAAGTACCTCCAGCCACAACTATGGCGACTGCTAAAAGCTGAGAATTGTTCTGCTTACAAACAATACGGTTTTGTGATATATGAACTATTTTGTCTAGTCGATTTCGCAAGTCTGCTATCGAAAAAAATCATGAGTGATTCTCACGAAAATACATATTTTAAAGATTGTTTTGCCGAATTTAATGAGTAAGTTTTTTTTATATCAATTTGTTAGGCTACCAGTACTGCAGTACAGTCTTGCCTGCCTGCTGACCACTTCTACTATTTTACTCCATTTTTGTTTGCTTATTCAAATTATCAAATAATTACTGTATTTCCAAATAATTGCTGCAGTCATCATCTCAGATTCCAAGAATAGTCCCCCACATTAAAAGATATAAAATTATAACAGTGAGAGCAAACTCATCTTTTACGGCACAAATTGGCAAACTGGCACTGCCAAATAATCTTGAAGGAAGGCGCAATTTAAAAACGTCATCATTGGATTCCTCGAAAAAAAATATTCGATTTCCAGAAAGAAAAATTACCAAGCATTCGAGAATTTTTAGCAAAAAAAAAAACCCTGGTCGTGTGACTGCCATCACACAGTACGATTGAATTAAGTCATTATGGAAACAACAAGACAAGCTTGCATTCCGTGTTCAACACTAGGTTATGTCAATAAGACAGCTCAGTCAAATGGCAAGTTGTGTTTGATAAGGTGTTGCTTCCAATTCAGATTACTCTGCAAATGAGTAGACAAACATACAGTATGACACAGTTCTTCGTTTCCAAGATGTCCTCACATTTGGTTCAATGAAACATATTTGTCTCCAAAATGAGGGAGTCTGGCACGAAAACAGATGTGTCAAATCACACCATGCTTGTTAATTAATCGTGGCCATCACATAACCAAAATTGCAATTTTTGCTAAAAACTACCGAAAGCCTCATTAAAAAATTTTTCTCTTGGTAAAGCTTTTTTTTTTTTTTTCGAGGAATCCAATGGTGACGATATTAAATTGCACTTCCTTTGATTGCTGATAGGGAAGCCCAAACTGTCTCTTTAAGGAGGGATTTGCATTCATTGCCATAATTAATGTCCTTCAGAGTAGGAGATATTCTTGGAATCGAAGAACTGTGGCATACTGACATACGTAGCAGCGAACTAAAATTGGTCATCAGTTAAGTGAGCCAGTCAGGTTGGATAGAGAATAGGGCAATATTACCATGATTATCCATCCAGTATATTGAACCTGTAAACCTTGCACAGAGTAATCAATGGCGTGTTTTTAATTTTGTAAGCTAAGAGTTGACATCGTATTTTTCTAATTTTGTAATAATTCAGCTAAACTCCAAAATTTTTTTTTCAAATGGTGTCAATTTAAGATAGGATTTAGTTAGGTCTATTCTGAATCTCGACATAAAAACTATTGCAAGAGAAGATTTTAGAAAACTAAACTCTTCATATTTTGACATTGGTAAAATGAGATTCAGGTCTGCTTTAGTTCCAACTCTATTTCTGCAAAATTTTCTAGCTTGGGAATCCATGGGGCATGACTAGTCAGAATAGTCTTCTTGAATAAAAGTTATCAAAGCTGCTATTCTTTACATATGTACATTTTTCTCGTAAAAGAAAATAGCTCCTTACATATTGTTAGAAATTAGTGGCTGCTTATATAGGTCTTTGTTTGTGATGAAGGAAGTAAAAGCTTCATATATAAATAAATACTTTGTAGTTCTTAGCACTTCAGTGGTCACCAGTAACTAATAACTGTGCTCACAGATCGGTTAGTCTTCTTAGAGTTTCTGAGTGAAATAGCATGACTTTACTTTTGGGCCAATTTTGATTTAAAAAATATGTCTTTATGTCTATCATTTCCTACATAAGCATTTTGGTATAGTGTACCATATCATTGATGATGTATTAGGAAAAAATTGGAAATTGACACACTTGTTTCAGTAATACCTCAAAATAGGTCTGTATTGATGCCGACGAATATTTTGTCAATGCTGTTGTTGCATCTTAATTGAACTTTCGGAATAACGTATATGTATATATGTATTTACACTGAGACTCTGGCTCGGCTTGTGACTCAAAAAAGCATTAATTTAGATCGGGACATAAATTTAAATTTCGATGGGACTCATAATAACCTATACCTTGGATGGTTCCTAACTTGACTCGTAACTCGGGTCATAGGACGGGACATGAGAGGGTTATTGCACAGAGATTTTATAACTGGTCATATAATTAGGCCAGATGTCAACTGTTTCAGTTTTTATGTGCATATATGAAAATTTGGTACTCTCGAAGTATTTGAACCAAGATGGCGGACACCGGAAAGTAGTATATGTACCAGGCTAGGGTTAGGCCATAATTTCAGGTACAAATACTACAGGAATCACTTGGCTAGTCCTCGAACTCATAGTAAAAATAAAATAAGGAAAATTGGAATGAAATTATGGCCTAACCCAGCGGTTCCCAAAAGGTAGTACACCGCAGCATGCCTATATTCCTTATGCCTAAAGGGCATTAAGTACACCTTAACGATCTAGATATTGAGATTTAGGGAATTTTTTGTGTAAGTGTGCCACGCTTATTTTCCCTTGATAATTTGGCGGCGCACAAACAAAAAGTTTAGGAACCGCTGGCCTAATCCCAACCTGGTACACATACTACGTTCCGGTGTCCGCCATCTTAGTTCACATACTTTGGGAGTACCGAAAGTTTTGCACTTTCTGAGTTACTGGTATTTATTAATCTTGCAGTTTTTATATCAATCCAGCATGTTTGAGAAAGGTTGGGTATCATAAGACCAGAAAAAATTTAGTAAATAACAATACTCAGATAAAGTCTTAGTGAAGATTGTATTTAGGTTTAAAAATGCGGTGTTCCCATTTGGTAAATCACATTAACCTGTGTTTTTTACCTTGTATTTCTAGAACCTATTTTGGTCTGATAATAATAATTGAATAGTGCTGTCTATCTGGATTGTATAGATGGAATATCTAGTTATCTAGAAAGGGCATGCTATTTTCAAGTTTTCTTTATACTTGGTCACTAATCTTAAATCAGGTCAACGTCCAAGTAAACTGTAGGTTCCTAGGTAGGATTGCCATGTCCAAGACAGAGAGAGGAAAGCCGATAACATAGCATGCATATTTAGTGAACTTTTTTTGTATATACCGGAAAGTTGTTCTCATAATCTCTCTCTGAATAAGGCTGTAAAGGAGCATCTACTGATACGTACGGATCTACTATATTTATGAGGAACGAAGCTGACTAATGCCTACTTAATTGTAAGGAACCTAGGAAAATGGTAAGCATGGTGTTCAAGTAAACTAATGCAAGGTCACAGAAAATTTAGGAAATTTGCGCTGTACATATATACAAATATTGGTGACCGTACATTTGAACCCATGTACATTTGAACCCATGCGTTTATCCAAGGGTTCAATCTATATGCGGGTGCTAAAACCCATGGGTTAGGGTTAGTATGGGTTTAACTATCCGTGAAACAAAAAAAATTCCATAGGTGCAATAGCATACAGGTGCAATTGTCATGGGTTCAAATGTACGTGGGTTCAGATGTAATGGAACCACAAATATTCAGTGTTACCAAATTGGTATAATTGCTTGGTATGATAATTCAGTTATACGCCAGATTATGTAGCTGTGTATATTTCTACGTGTTCTAGATTTATTTGGTGAATATTACATTTCGTATCAATAATTTGCCTTGTTTACAACCATTGATACAACTGATAACCATTGAATGGTACATTCTAATTGGATTATGGAATCATAATATCTAATTATTCAAAACATGAACACTATTTTCAGAACAATTTTTATTTTTTTGAAACTTGAGCATATTTTCAGAAATTATTTTATAAAATTTGAAATTTTCTGTTCATTTTTGATACTTGGTTTCTAATCTGGAACTTGGGTTGATGTTCAAGTAAATTCAATCTTTCAAACTCTAGTTCTTGAGATAGGAATTTCATATTTATACCATAAGACTGGAAAGGTTAGAGGAAAAACATATAAAGTGGCCCATTTTATGAATTTTCCCACAATCTCACCCTGAAAGTGATGAGACGGATATCGGTGCATAACAATCTTCTGTTTCTGGAAGGAACACATCCCTGGCTCTCAATAGTGTGTGTTGGGTACAAGCTGCTAAACCTCTAGTCGCGAGTAAAGTCATGGGTTATGTAAGTCTTTCAGTTGAGGCGGTTAGTTGAATATGAGTACGAGTCGCTGACTCAAGTTACTTTGAGTCCTGATAAATGGTGATCTGAGACCTGTACGAGTTAATGATTTCGGTTTCGGCAGCACAGATTTCAACCCATGTGATAATCCGAGTTTAGTTTTATCCAGTTCAAAATTGTTTTGGTTCAAGATCAGATTTAGATACCGTATTTCCCGGCTATTAAGTCGCTTTTCTAAACCCAATTTTTTGGCCTGATTTTTTTTGGGGGGCGTCTTATTAGGCAGGTATGCTTATTTTATTTTTCTGGGGTTGGCTTACTCTTTAGTTTTGTCGATTCAGGTAAAAACAACACAAGACTGGAAAACACATCTGTTAACTAACCCATGGACGAACAGTGCAGTACTTATCACAACATATTCATAGGATATTTCAACGTTCCAGTTAATGGATTGTTCAGAATGATTAAAATTACCCTTTTATTGTTAAGAATTAATGATGTGGGTATTATTCTACCTGAAACAAGCATGACCTGGTTCTAACGATATAAAATCATTGATACATAGGATAGGATTTACATATTTATCCCGGGAGAGAGGAAAGCCAATAGGTTAGCCAGTTATTTTGTTTTCCGAAGCATGGACTTGGAAATAGACATGGCGAGTCAGCCTCCTTTCTCTCTCGAACTCGCGATGTGGATCAACAAATACAGAGAAAACAGACATGACGAATTTGCTCTCTCTCTCGAGCTCGCACTCAACGACTGCTCAGAACAAAATGAGACCACAGACAGCGAAACAGAACCCAGAACGTACCTATTCGTGTTCAACTGACCTACAGAAAAGCAATTTTTCTGCCCACAGAAAAGCAATTTTTCTGCCCGTCTTATTGGAAGGCTATTTGGAAAAATTCTCTTTTTCAGTGCTAAAAATAGGCTTTGCTTTATTCGCCATGAAATACTGTATGTTTACGAGTGGCCTTCCTTTTTTCG